CCACAACGAAAAGGGTTCCTTCTTCAGAACCACGACTGTAGGAGCAGCGGACGAGGCAGAAGGAAGGCAGCTCCAGCTGGCCACGGTGGATCGAGACGCAATCGCGTGACATCGAACCCTTCCATGGGTGGCAGGCCCCACGTGGCCAGGCTTCGAGCATCCATGGCGTTCGGCGGCGGCTTGAGCATTCGGCGCATGGCCCACCGCTGATGTGCGCACGCGCTTGGCCAGCTCCAGCTGGGAGACGGCGCGCAACGTGACCCAAAAATGCGCCACGCACCGCTGACGTGCAACGCTGTGAGCTGTGAGCGAGCAGGCCGAGGCTGCGAGATGGCAACCGCCCGCCGCCGCCGGCTCTTCCCGGCCTGCCTCTGCTGCGCGGGGACGACTGCGACGCCCGGCCAGGGCCACGCTCGGAGCTGGCCCGACCACTGGCGCGGTCGGCACCGTCCGCAAAACACCACGGCAGGTCACACACAGTCACTCACAACCGCGCACTTTTGCTTCGGCGGTGAGGCAAAGGACGTCTGCGCTGGCGACGGGGTGCCCAAAACGGGGATGCCGCTAGAGCGAGTGGTGCCGCCGTGCAAGAGGAGCGGGGAGAGCACAACTGCACACACAGACACACACACACATTCGCACACACACTCGCACACACACACACACACACACACTCGCACTGCTTCCTCCGCCGGCCGAGCGTCACTCACCACAGCGGGAGCTCGAACGGGATGCAAACTGCCACGGATCCCACACCTCGCGGGCGGGGGGGGGCTGGGGCTGCGCTGGGAGAGCGGGCGTGCAGGACAGAGATCTCAGCTCAGTGGGAGTGCCGCGAGAGAGAGAGGCGCGTGCAGCGTGCAGAGAGGCCGCCGGAGAGGCCAACGGGGCGCTGCAACGCCCGGGCCTGGACGAGGGCGAGGTGAGACTCCCGACGCGCACGCACACATACAAACACACACACACACAGACTCGCGCACGTTCATATATACACACGCACACACGCACACAAACGCACCCACACACACACACACACACACGCACGCACGCACGCACGCACGCACGCACACACACACACACACACACACGCACACAAACACACGCACACACACACACACACACACACACACAGCACACACACACACACACACACGCACGCACACACGCACACACGCACACACACACGCACGCACACACGCACACAGCACACACACACACACACACCACACACGCACACACACGCACTTACACACCAACACACACACACACACAACACACACACACACACACACACACGCACTTACGCACACGCACACCACACACACACCACACACACACACACACACGCACGCACGCACGCACGCACGCACGCACACACACACAGCACACGCACACACACACACACACACACACACACACACACACACCACACACACACACTCACACACACACACACGCACACACACACACACACACGCACACACAGACACACACACACACACACGCACACACACACACACACACACACGCACACGCAATTGCACACTCACGGACGCACACACACACACACACACGCACACACACACACACACTTTAGCGTGGCGGACGGTTCGTGCAACTCGGCGATATCGGGCAAAATCGAGACGTGCAATGCCGACGGGGGGTCAGAACACACACACACACACACAACAGCGTTTCTCTCCAGCGGCTGAATGACATCACTACAGTGGAGACCCATGCCAAGAAACACCCTGCTCGCCTCCCGGGTGCCCTGGGTTGCCTGTGCTTCAGAGCTTCTGCAGTGGAGAGCGTGACGCTCCCGCGCCAAGCCTGGACGGACGTCTTGGGGTCCCAGGGTTGGGCTTGCTGCGGAGGGCTTCTTGTGGTCGGTCCCCTGCGGTACAGTCGGGGCGTTGCCCTAAGGAACCCTAAATAAGGAACGAGGCCCCTTGTTTCCATAAGTTAAACTTCGGTTTCCCATCGAAAACATAAAATAACCTGAGGCAAGCTGCGAAACAATTAAGGAACACGGAGCCCCTCCCCAACGAAAAGGGTTTCTTCTTCAGGGCGCGTTCGAGCCGCACCTCCACCGAGTGCTGCAGGCGGAAGAGGGGCCCTTACTGCGCCGGGCGAGCCAGCGTGGCCGAGCGTGGGAGTGGGAGGCCCCGCGCCAGGCGAGCGCGCGCCACGGCACACGCACGCACACACGCACACACACGCACACACACGCACACACACACAGACTCACAGACACACACACACACACACAACACACACAACACACAACACCCACAACACCCACAACACACACAACCCACAACCCACACATAACCCACACACAACCCACACACACACACACACACAACACACACAACACACAACACACAACGCACACAAACGCAAGTTATGAGACTCCGTGGAGGTGAACCCGAGGAGCCCTACGGAGCCCGCCTAGCCCTGACACTCTACGCCCATTACCTCATCAACTTCCTCCTGAGTA